AATTAATTAATACAACCTTATTGTAAAGTGTTACATTTTTCATATTTTGGATTAATACTATTAATTTTATTTAGTATTTAAAACCTTAAAGGTATTTTTATTATTGTTGATGTTATGCCTCTTAGCAATATTTTAGTCCTCTATATGGTTTTTAATTAAATTTTTTATTGCGAGATTGTAATGTAATCCATATATATTGTTGAATTTCTGTTTGTTTATTTAAGGATTATCTACTATTTTTAAAGTACTTAAAACCAACCATCTAATAAAAAATACAATTAACAATCACATTTTGTTTCATGAGTGTCTTTGTTCCTGTTTTGTAGGACTCTTATTTTAACACATTTCATTTGGAAACACTTGACTGATCATTCAGTTAAAGTTTTACCTTTATTATTCCATCACTCAATGAGATCATTTAATTGTGAGTTGAATTACTCCATTTGTAATTGTTTTTAAATAAACTAAAAACGAAGACTTGTTTTATTCAGTTTGTTGAATGTGAACTTCTCTACTTTACATATTAAAAGATATTTAAAACCACTATGAATGTATTTAAACTAATATTTAAATTTATATAACTGTTTCACTGTGGGTATTTCTATTTTAATTTATTTAGCACATTTATTGGCTATTCAAACATGAAAACAAGTTTTAGATACTTTGTGGCTCTAATAAATTGTTAAACTTTACAATATCCCTGCAGAAAAATCCAGCTTAAACTAGCCTAGGCTGGTAAGCTGGTTTTAGCTGGTCGACCAGGCTGGTTTTAGAGGGGTTTTGGTCATTTCCAGGCTGGTTTCCAGCCATTTCCAGCCTGGTCTTAGCTGGTCAGGCTGGAAACTGACCAGCAAAATCCAGCTAAAACCAGCTTGACCAGCCTGGTTTAAGCTGGACATAGCTGGTTTTAGCTGGTCATCTCCCTGCCTGACCAGCTAAGACCAGGCTGGAAATGGCTGGAAACCAGCCTGGAAATGGCCAAAACAACTCTAAAACCAGCCAACCAGCCTAGGCTGGTTTAAGCTGTTTTTTCAGTAGGGATTTTTGACAAAATGTTCTAAAATGATTGTTTACAAGTGCCTAAGTGGGATTCGAACCCCGTTCTTTATGAAAAGAAAGAAAAATCTGATTGGCTCTGACATTACTTTCACCAGTGGGCAGGTACTTCAATCTGATTTGCTGGTCTCTCACGCGCGTATTCAGTCTCTCTGCGTTTGCTTGAGTTGTCCACACTGGCGCTTCATAATTTTCCTGCTTTTGCTCTCCAGAGATCCTCCTGATAAATTGATTATTCCAGAATGTTGATATGGTTTATATATTGCTAAACTATTTAGTAACAATACACGAAAAACTATGAGGTTAAGGTAAATTCTATAATAAATACTAGTGTTTTTGAGAGTTAGGTATACTGCCTATGTTTAAGCCTAGTATTATTTACAAGTTGTTAATGAATGCTTCAGCATACTGTAGTATTAAGAATAGTGAACTAATAAAATGAAATACAGAGTGTAGTTTTACTACAGTAAAGTGTGGTGAATTGTAGTATAATATACCCTATACTGTAAAAAAACTACAGCACTGGGTCATTTGTTTATATTACACTTGTGTTACCATAGCAACTATAATATTACCCCAACAGATTAATTGAAGTACTTTACTATAGTACTGTTCAAAACCCTGTCCATGCCAATAGATGTGTTCAGGGGCCCTGTGGAACAGCTTTTCCTCAAAATGAAGAGGATGACATGGAAAATGTCCTCCACAATCTCATCAATAATGTGGAAGACAGCAGAGACGTGTTCACTTTATTTTAGTTGCCATGATAAAATGGGATTGATAGTGAGATTTATTTAAAGAGTGAATAGTACAGTAGGCTATAATGCCAAATCAAGTTTTTCCTTATTTTTATCACAGTTACATTTCTGCTTGCGTTAGTTATATTTTTGTTTAAATGTTTTTTTTATTTAATTAGTATGGTGAACCTTTTGGATGTTTAATAAATGTTTGTAAAACAAAATGCATTCTTTACATCCAACCTCTATTCTCTGTGTCTTTAAGTGTTTGAAACTGGAAATATCTCATCATAAAACATACAGCCAAATTGTTATGGTTTATTAGATCAAAAATTTAATATGTAAGTCTATTTTAGTATTTTGGTTATTGTTAATAAATAGTGCCACAATATAAATCATATCAAAAAGCACAAAAGGAAGAGGAAACACAAGACACAAATTCTATATATAATCTCTGAGAGCGCGCAGGAAAATGTGTGCGTGAGCAGCGTATATTTGAGAGCGAGAAAATTTGTGCGTGAACAGCGTATATTTGAGAGCGAGAAAATTTGTGCGTGAGCAGCGTATATTTGAGAGCTCGCAAGCAGTTTTGTCCACAGAGGAAATCGGTGCACGAGCATCACACAAAGTAGAGAGCAAAGTTCTTCATTGTTATGTGAAGAAAACAACGTTATTGTTTGTATGAAGTAGCCTACTTCATTTAGAATATGTGCTACCATTTTACATTGCTGCTAGACAGAATGGCATCTCCATCTCTTCAGCACACACAAGATTCAATTGACAAAATACCAATTTCACTCAATTTTACTTTGCAGCATACAGGAGTTGTTGGTCCACTGCTGCCTCATTGAGTTTGTTTATGTAGTTTTAGTTAATCACAAGTTGATCACTGAAGACATAACATAGCACAACTAAACTTAATGAACTAGACAGCAGTAGACCTGCAATTTCTGTGTGATGTGAGGCAAAATGGAGTCTTTTTTGGTGGAACTCATTCTTGTGAAATAGGCTGTGTAGACGAGACGCAGCACTGTTTAGCACTTTTTCAGAAAATTACATTTGTATCTTTATATATCTAAGCAATGTTCTTTCATTAAAAAAAAGGTTTGTTTAATAAATACAGATCTTACAGCCATACATAATATGTTTAAATTTAATTTTTCTGTTTAAAAGACTCGAAAAGACTCGAAAATCAAACTATAGGACTTTGGACTTGACTTGAGACTTGTTGCCTTTGACTCGGGACTTGACTCGGGACTTGCCTGTCTTGACTCGGGACTTGACTCGGGACTTGAGGGCAATGAATTGAGACTTACTTGTGACTTGCCAAACAATGACTTGGTCCCACCTCTGCGGCGCGCACATGACAGCCTAAACTATATCATATTAAACTATATTAATACAAAATTAAATCGTCGTAAAAACGTAAATTCAAATTCGAAAATCGCCCAGCCCTAACTAGTAGTGTTTTGAATTGAATGAATGCATAATAATCGTAAAACCATGATTATTTCTCAGACTATAACCGTACAACCAAAATCTATAATCGTTGTATCCCTAATGCCTACTAGGTAGGTACAGTTGCCTTGAACCATGCTTAATTGCGATTGTCCCCCCTTCCCTCTCCACAGACGGCCTTCTGAACCTGAGCATGCTTACGCTATCAATGATGCGACTGTTCAGTTTAACAGAAGAGAAGTGCTCTCGCTCTGCAGTGGAGATTGCTTTAGTTATATAGTTTTAGTCATTTGGGATGCAGTGACAGTCAAATATTTTGTCGAACAGATCCATAACTTTTGATGTTCATAAATTATAATAAAGCCCTCGTGCTGCAGGTAATAGGAGGTTTGCTGAAGATGCAGCTGACGTGCAGTGAGGGGTTTACGTCTTTAATAAACTATGACAGTTCATGTTCATTGAACAGAAAGAATGATGAAATGAGCATATGAAAGTGCTTTAAAAGTGACGTTGCATCTTCAGTTTCGCACTCAGGTGCGCTTTACTACACGCGTACCTTGTCAAAGCCCAGTTAAACTGTGCTCTGGCACACGTCTTCCAACCTGGCCAGGGCTAGCCAACTGAAGCGTGCCTGGGCCCGATTCAGAGCACTCACACTGTTCAAACTAATGTTGATTCTTGCTCAAAAGATAGTAATAAAATAAACCAGAAAAACACAACGAGCTGCTGTCTATATATTTTGTGAATTACGGCTTGTTAATTTACAAGTAACTTTTACAGTGCATTAATAAATAATTATTTTTAGCTCATCAATTTCACAGCCAATTATTGTTTTTACGCAAAACTAACATTTCATAGTTCAGTAATACTTTACAATAATTTTACTCCATCAGTTCAGGCATTTACTAATACGAAATATGAATAATTCTGTAAATTAATCAGTTCAACATTTACTAATGCCTTAATAAAATCCAAAGTTGTGTTTGTTAACATTAATGCAGAGATTTAACATGAACTAACATTGTTTAACTTAAAAAATGTTGTTAACAAGGATGAATGCCGTAATAAAAGCATTACTAATTGTTTGTTCATTAGTAAAGGCATTAATCAACCTTTATCTTGACAATAAATTATAATATCAATTACTTTAAAGAAATACCCATAATTATACACTTTTTTTTACACAATTTTACAACTACCCACATGAAAAATACTACAGTAATATATAGTTAATACTGTAGTGTTTTAAACCATCCTATAATAAAGTGTATTGTACAACTGTGTTACTGAATGTTGATGCAGTAACTATGGTGAAATGAGAGAAAGCTCTGCATACTGTAGTAAACATGAGTTTTTACTGCAGTAAACTGTGCTGTGTTGTAATATAGTTGTTGTAAATGTAGTACAGTGTTGGTGTTTTGTGTTTATACTACACTATTTACTATAAATGACTACAGTATTTGTCCATGAGGGTGAAATGAGTGAACACAGCATTTCATTTGCCGCTAATAAAGATCAGACAAATCCTGAAGTATAAGAATGTGTGAAAGTAAACAGGAATCATAACCTGTGCTTTTACCGCGAGAAGCTTTTACATCGAGAGCTTTAATAAAGAGGTTAGTGGCCAAAACCAAGCAAAAACAAAGCTGAAAACCGACACTGAAGAGGAACACAGCCGAGAGAAAAACACTTGAATATTGAGAAAGTAGGAATCTGAACTAATAAATAAGGAGAGAAACACAACGTTACCTGTTTACATATGAACACGGTAAAGGTCCGCTATTCCTGATCGCTTTCACAGAAGAATTGACAGTCAAGAGCCAGGATATAATGAAGAAAGGCAGGAGTTGTGTCGTGTTCGCTAAATAATCTCTCTAGAGTTGATAAAAGCTGAAGTGTAGCCTCTTTGTTTCTTCTCATCTTCAACACGAGTTTAATGTTGCTTGTTCTGAGCTTCTCCTCCAGCGCCTCCGCTATCAGTGTGCTGTGTACTACTGCCATCTAGAGGACAATCACAGCAACAGCGACTTACAGCGGTAACCGGGCGCCAGGAGGAAATCAGCTTCAGTCAAACTAATCATTTCAGAATCAATGTTAAGCAGACAAAAAATACACAAATAAATAAAGAACCACCAACAAAAAACATTGAATACAACTTCATCATCATAGAACAAACAAAACTAATTTAATTGACAGCAGACACCACACATGAAATAATACTATAGTAAATAGTGAGTGGAGTGAAGCAGCAAGAGTTTCTTAACTGAAAGCTTCGTTGAGTTTGCGTGCCTCACGCATCGCGCACCTGTCAGTCAGTCAGCACGTCACCCCAAAGGATTAAACAGATAGCACACAGCACTGTACGGTTACAGAAAAGTTTGTGCTGTTATGATTCACTTACCTTTTAGTAAGTTTTGGTGCGATTATAATCCGCTATTAAAAACAACAACAACAACGACTGAATGTTTTGAATGGGTAATGTAGTCGTGGATGGATGCATTTTGGTCCTCGCCATGGAATAATGAATGTAGCGGAAATGCTCTTTAAAAGTTCTCTGTAGTTGTCTTGACAACACAAACTGCTGCTCTGGGATGAGCCGCGTGCAAAAGATGCCCCTCTTAACGCAAAGGCGCATTCAATCGGCCCCTTATCCAGTCAAACTAAAAATATACAAAATAATAATTTTAATCGTTTAACTGATAGCATTAATCGGTCACAAACGCACCCTTTCGGTTAACGGTTAATCGATTATTTTGAGCATCCCTAGTTTGTACTGCTCCACACTCCATGTGTTTTGTATCCGGCTCACTCCACACTGTAGGCTAAACCCCGCTGTTGTCATTACTAAAGAAATTAAGTTAATATAATTGACTTTACTTAAAATATCAAGTTTTGGCATCAAAACTAAAACAGGTGTGTTTAACTTACACATTAGGCAGCAAAAACCTTTAATATTTTAAGTTCTCCAGATTTAACATTTAAATTTTTCACTTTAAAATTACATTTTTATTTAACGTTTAAACGATTCATCACACTGTAAAAAGTGATTCGTTACTTAAAGCGAGTAAATCAATTGCCTTAAAAGCAACAAGTTGACTTAACAAAGATAATTTAAGTAAACCCATTGTAACTGTTTAGTTGACTTTATTTGTATAATTATGCTAATTGATCTCACTTTTTAAATAATAAAGTAAACTAATCACTTTTTTCCCAATACACCAATATATATTTATTATATTTGGGTTTTTCCAGCTTTTCTGTATCCAGCAAAATGACATACAGTAAGATAAATCTGCTCTTCCAGATTCCAGTGTGTCTTCTCAATTCAACACAGGCTATAATTGTAGATCTGATCCACTTAATAAAGCACCAAATATGTAATATTGTAAAAATTACAGTAGTTATTTAAAAACAGACATGCTCAAATATATAAGTGTAAGCTTTGCTTGGTTAATATTTATTTTTGGAGTATTTTGTAGTTATAAACACGCGTGCAGGTGGTGGTGAAGCAGGCAGGGACGGGGATGGAGTCGTGATAAAGGCACATGGATTAGGCTGGTAAGTTCATGTTTAACACGACTGTGTGTTACGCTTTTGGTTTATTGTTTGTAAATTTGTTTATTTTATACAGATGGACAAGGGGTAAATGCGTTCAGGTTAATGTGAGGTTTTGGTGAGAACTACAGTGGCCTCTGTCTCAGTCACAACAACATCTGATTCTGATAACTGTCATGTTCACCAGCGAACAACCACCAGATGTCGCTGGTGAACATTCACACACAAACATTCACACTCATTGAACTACATATCTGACATGTTATGGACTACAACACCTAGTCATGCCACACACACACACAACCGGTTCCAGATCCACACTGATTGCACTCTCACAGCTGAAGCCACTCACACAATGATTATTTGGACTATTTAAACCCTCTTTTCCACACACGTTGCTGAGTCTTGTTATCTGTCACAGTGACAGTACAACGCGTTTCCTTTGTCTGCCTTTGCCGTGTTGTGATCCTTGCCTTGTTTATTTATTTAATTCTGTTTGCTGCCTGCCTCTGACCATCTGCCTGTTGTTTTGACTTCGACTCTGGATTGCCCTCATACATCTGTTTGCCGGTATTGACCACTGCCTGCCAGACAATTCTAATAACCTGCACGTGGATCCAAAATTCTGTTGTTGGTGTCACTCTCCGGCGTTACAGTAACAGCACGTTAGCTAGTTAGAGTTCCCTGCAATGCATTGTCGAAAGTGAAAAAAAAAAAAAAAAAAAAACAAAGTAGATTGTTTTACCTGCTCTCTAAAATAAACAAAGACTTTACATCAGTTTCACGTCATCCATCCCTAACAATGTGTTTTCCTTGCCGTGTTTGACCCTTGCCTTGTTTTATTGTTTATTCCTGTCTGCTGCCTGCCTTTTGACCCTCCGCCTGTTGTATGACCACGACCCTGGATTTGCCTGTATACATCCGTTTGCTCCTGTGTCGACCGTTGCTTGCCTGACCATTCTCTTGTAATAAACCTGCATGTGAATCTGCAATGACCTGGAAATGAAATAAAGGAATATTTATAACACAAAGTATTTGAATGTTTCTTTAATTTGTTTACTACTGTCGCTCACAAGGTTAAACCACATTATATAAATCTGCATGCAATAGTAAATACACTGTACTGAGTGGGCTAGGACAAATAACTGAGCAAATCTGTAATTTAGAAAGAGTTACTCTGTCTGTTTGATCTGCTTTAACTATTTCTATCAAATGCTGACGGCTTGACCACATTCCTCCTCATACCAATGAACAAAACAAAAACACAGCATTCAGAAACATCTTGCAAGAGTCGCGTTTGCATGGCTTCAGCTGTGTCCTCTTCATTTCTGTGTCTGACTCAGACTGATACGTCTTCACTGACATTATTAACAGACAGCATGCAGGAGAGGCATGACGTTTCCTGGTGATGTGGAGCCGATCCGCCAATCACAACACATTCAAGAGTTCACACTTAGCTGATGACTGATTATAAAGCTTGTTTGTCATGCTGTCCAGGGTGAAAGCCCTGAGCTTATAAGATCTTTGAGCACAGGGCTCCCTCCCTTTGCAGGGCAAGAGGGCAGTTTGAGCTCAGGTTGTCTCGAGAGTTTTTACAGATGGATCATGAACACACATTGTTTTGCACCCCATAAACACCATCAAACCTTTAAAAAAACACTGTGGACCACCCTGGTGACAACGGGGTCTGCCTTCAGCTCTTATTCTCAAACTCATTTAACTACGGAAGATCAAGTTGCTTGTGGTCTGGCTTTGCTCCACTCATCCACTGTGTCCATATGTCTGTAATATCCTGAAGCAGCAGCACTGTTTTGTATTGTCGCACGAGTTTCCCACTTTTTTAAAGAAAAAAAAAAAAACAATTAATGTACATCAGTAATTCGCCAGTACCTTTTTAAATGTTCCTGTAAGAAAACATTGTAAATAATTGGAAATCTGACGACCGTAATAATCAAACCCTTGGGAACAACTGTGGTCAGAACCAAAGTTTACAGTGACTGTGTTCTCTGGACTCCTCTCAAGCGGTGGACTTCTACATTCTGATTGGTTGCCGCTGAACCCAGTCATAGCTTATTACCATAAAGCTGACTTGATTTCAACTCTCCTCGACGCCCACATCAGCCAAGACGCGCCGTGCTGCTTCTCGCCGCCGGCTCTCATTGACTTCCGCCTACTTTGATGCTCTCGCTGCTTTCGGTGTGAACGTACAGTTTCTTTCTGGTGTGAATCCTCTCATGTGTTTGCAGGTTTCCTAACTGTCTGAATCTCCTGTCACAGTGTGAACACTTGTAAGGTTTCTCTCCAGTGTGAATCCTCTTGTGTCTTTTCAGAGTTCCTAAATCACTGAATCTCGTGTCGCAATGTGAACAAATGTAAGGTTTCTCTCCAGTGTGAATCCTCTCATGTTTTCTCAGATTTCCTAAATCACTGACTCGCTTGTCGCAGTGTGAACACTTGTAAGGTTTCTCTCCAGTGTGAACCCTCTCATGTGATTTCATTTGTGCAAACTGACTGAATCTCTTATTGCACAGTGAACAAATGTAAGGTTTCTCTCCAGTGTGAATCCTCTCATGTTTTCTCAGATTTCCTAAATCACTGACTCGCTTGTCGCAGTGTGAACACTTGTAAGGTTTCTCTCCAGTGTGAACCCTCTCATGTGATTTCATTTGTGCAAACTGACTGAATCTCTTATTGCACAGTGAACAAATGTAAGGTTTCTCTCCAGTGTGAATTCTCTCATGTATTTTCAAATTTTCAGCCGTAATGAAGGTCTTCTCACACTCCAAGCACCTGTACTCTCCCACACCGGTGTGGGTCTTCTGATGATTTCTTAAACTAACTTGATGTCTGAAACTCTTTTCACACACAGAGCATGGATAAGGCCTCTCCTTTGTGTGAACTCTAAGGTGGCTCTTCAGGTCTGAACCCCTCAAAAATGTTTTCCCACACTGATCACATTTGTGTGTTTTATCTCCATTGTGGATCAGCATGTGACTAATAAGGTTTGATAAGTGTCCGAAACTCTTCCCACACTGAGAACAAGTGAACGGTTTCTCTCTGGTGTGGACCCTCATGTGACACCCGAGACTCTGTTTGTTTGCCAGACTCTTTCCACATTGAGTGCATGTGAATGGTTTCTCTCCAGTGTGGATCCTCATGTGTTTCCCGAGACTCCTTTTGTTTGCAAGACTCTTTCCACACTGAGTGCAGGTCACACGTTCTTTGTCTTTTCTGTTCAGTGAGTCAGTTTTTTCACTCATTTTCTCATGACGGTGTGTGTCCTCCATCAGGTCTGAAATAAAAATGAAAATACTGCCTTTAAAATGACATAACAGCATGCTGACATAATAATATATTTTATAAGGATCCATCCAATTGGTCCTAGACGGAATCCACTGGTGGATAAAGGTTTACTTCATGTTCAGCTTTTTCAGTGGACAATGCCATTTTCAGGGTATATACAGTACAGGAATCATGTAGGGAAATTCATTACCTTTTAAGACCTGTTTTAAGACTGTTTCCACAGATTTCAATACCTCATCGTCACTTTAGGTTTCAACTAGTAACATTGGTGACATTTGAACTTGCATTATATTTACTAAATACTGATTGTAATATAGCAAGCACAACTAATGCCTAGTTCAGACTGCGTGATTTTAGCCCCGATTTTGGCTCGCCGACAGGTTTTAAGAAATCGCAGACAAATGCCTGAAATCACAGGCAAATCGCTGCTCGTGCACGTGAGTGACAATCACACAGTATGAACTATCAAAGACGCGATCTGAGAGAATCGCCAATGAGTCGCCGATGCCTGCGAGATATTTGGCATGCTGAATATCTGGAGCTGTCGGCGATTCAAATCATGCTGTGTGAATTAAGTTTTGACTGAAAATAACATCAGCGATCGCCTACAGCCAATGAGAGAGCGGCATTCACTTGCGTGTGCGTGTATACCTGCTGCAGGCCAGCGGGAGGCTGGGGTTGAAGTTAAAAGCGCTCATTTTCGGTTTATTTGGACCCACGAAATGGAGGAAAATCTAGTGGAGGTTTGACAGGACTCAGGAGCAACTGTCTGTTTGACGTTTCATACAGAAAGAAATGAGTTTATTATCAACGTTGAGGAGAAATGGCTAATTCCCTTTAAACCCAGGTGAGCAAACATGTACATTTTCTACCCCATTAAAGGCTTCTTTCTCATTATGTAGTCAATAACAAAAGATATACTACGTGTTTTTGGCTGTGAGACGTAGTTTGGACGAAGTTGTTGGCGATTCTTCCAATAGTAAAGTCATGCAATGTGAAAGTCCCTGTCGCCGATCCATCTTGCAGTGTAAACAAAGCAGCGACGAAACGCTAGCCCAGATATTCAAGCAGTGTGAAAACATCTGTGACACGACTACTTTGAAAATCATGCAGTCTGAACTCTGCATTAAGCAGAGTTTCTGCAGATATCATAATGTCAAATTTAAGACTGTTTAGGATCATTAAGTATTAAATTTAAGACCGATATCCCAATATCAAAAACACGCGAGAGAAAATGTAAAATCACGAAATTAGTGTTAAAATAAAGTTATTTAAATTAAACAGCACTGAAGACAGATCAGATGCACCATTGAACTACAGAAAAAACAAACAAACATCTTAATGCTGATTTATACTTTCGCCAGGCGCCTCATTGTGCAATTCACGAAACCGATGAGGCTTTTATACTTGACGCGTTCGCCATTGAGATATTCTCTTAAATGACAGGGGGGGGTCAAAATAAACAGACAGTAAAATAAGACAAATAAAAAGAGAATCATTAATATCATTGAAGATGATTTTGGAGCCTCTTTTTTTTTAACAAACTTTTCCCTCAGGTTTTTCCAAACTTTTACAAAAACTTTCCTCTCTTCCTTTTTGGCACTTAAAAAACTCGTCCGGCCGGGTTTCTAACTGTGCTTAAATGTCCAGGATTCGACTTTTTCTTTCTAAAGCTGTCACTCATTAATTGTATGCATATTTTTTTATTTAAGCCTACTTTCGCTTGGCTTTGCAGCTGACTGCTCACACAGTCGCGAGAGAAACATTCAATAATACATTCTTGAATCTTAACGACTCAGAAACACTTTACTCCATATCTTCGTAGAGGACGAAACGACTGATCTAAACTGGCTGCAAAATAGACTTACACCATCAGTAGTTAATCAATGCATTTCCCTTCTTTAAATAATCTACACATTTAAATCATGTAAATATGATCATTTTTAGGGATACTGTCCGTTTTTATTCCTTTTTCTGTCATTTAATTCTCATTTGCTGTATATTTTATTAATTCGATGATCATAGGCTATTTTATAAACATATCTAAAATGCTTTTGCATTCAAGTTTGCTTTAAACTTGTAAGAGAAAGAAGCAGATTTGACCTGTCAGCGGTGCTCATGGCTCCTGAATAGGCAAGGGAAGTGGATGATTTTTAACAGTTTTTTTTTTTACTTCAACCCATTGACAGTAAACAGTGTATTACATAAATAAATGAAGTTATTGTAAAAATTAAACATGTTTTGTTTGTCACATGTAGGTAACTATTAATGTGATGTGGGTAAATGGTGTGTTTCGATCCGGCGACCACCGAAAGTATATTTCAACCTGTGAGAAGCACTGATAGTATTGTACTCATATGGTAATGTTTAACGTTTTAAGTTTTTGACATGTTAGGTGTTAAGTTTAATCAAAAAGGATTAAATGCTATATTCCAGTTTTTTTACTCGCATGCATAATTTTTTTCCCCCCGATATGTTTTTTTAAAAAGAAGAATTAAGCTTCACAATAGTTTTTCAGTTAGGGATTAATATTAGAGTAGCTTAATAAAATGTTTAGTTGGACACTGCACAGTCCCACAGTCTACACTAAGTAATATTAAAATGTATTAATTATATTTATTATTATTATTGCCATTATATCTATTATTATTATTATAATAATTAAGCTATAAAATTCACAGAATGCAGAACCCTTAAAAATATTTGCTTTCGTTTTGACATCGCTAAAGCTCACTTTTACAGTTGTGTAATGTAATGTATTTTTTATTTAATGCCATGTCAGCAACCAAGGCTATTTTCATGGCAGGAATCTTTCAACAATAAATATAAAATTTAAAAAGCAACAAACTAAATAAAACATAAATTAAATAAGATTTTTTTGTGTTAATACATGATAAAAATTCGTAAATCTTTTCTGGTTTCACTGTGTCAAACATGTCCTTAAAAGAGTTCATTTAATTAAAAAAAAGGCTTCTGGAATCAGTAAAAGCAGGACAGTCCAGTAAAATGTGTTTTATAGTAAGAGGAGTTTTGCAGCACAAACACTGAGTAGGGTTTTCACCTTGGAGCAAAAAACCATGTTTTATTCTCGTATGCCCAATACGACATCTGGTAAAAACGACTTGATCAAATCGATTCTTAAAATTCTGTGTGAAATTTCAGGTTGGATTTCATGTAATTTATTGTTTTCTAATGCATCCCATTCCTTTTGCCACTTGTTTAAAATGGAAGCGTTGATAATAGGTTTACAGTTGTGTAAAGAAACATCCCATTCTACAGCTGCAGTCTCAAGTTAGGACACTTAAGAATGCCTTTTGAGTTTAAAGATGATCGGCCTGTGAAGTCAAGTTTACAGTGTTATAAATGTAAAAGGTATATAGTGCGTGAGCATGTGGATTTACCGTAGATCCACCTCTTACATGCTCTGTAGGCTGAATGATAATCTAGGTAGTAGGGGTGGGCGATATGGCCTAAAATTAATATCTCAGTATTTTCATCTTTTGAACGGTGACGGTATAATATCTCGGTATTTTCATCTTTTGAACGTTGACGGTACAATATCACGGTATTTTTCATCTTTTGAACGTTGACGGTATAATATCACGGTATTTTTCATCTTTTGAAAGGTGACGGTATAATATCACGGTATTTTTCATTTTTTGAACGGTGACGGTATAATATCACGGTATTTTTCATCTTTTGAAAGGTGATGGTATAATATCACGGTATTTTTCATCTTTTGAACGGTGACGGTATAATATCACGGTATTTTTCATCTTTTGAACGGTGATGGTATAATATCACGGTATTTTTCATCTTTTGAACGTTGACGGTACAATATCACGGTATTTTTCATCTTATGAACGGTGACGGTATAATATCACGGTATTTTTCATCTTTTGAACGGTGACGGTATAATATCACGGTATTTTTCATCTTATGAACGGTGACGGTATAATATCACGGTATTTTTCATCTTTTGAACGGTGACGGTATAATATCACGGTATTTTTCATCTTTTGAACGGTGACGGTATAATATCACGGTATTTTTCATCTTTTAAACGGTGACGGTATAATATCACGGTATTTTTCATCTTTTGAACGGTGACGGTACAATATCACGGTATTTTTCATCTTTTGAAAGGTGACGGTATAATATCACGGTATTTTTCATCTTTTGAACGGTGACGGTATAATATCACGGTATTTTTCATCTTTTGAACGGTGACGGTATAATATCACGGTATTTTTCATCTTTTGAACGGTGGCGGTATAATATCACGGTATTTTTCATCTTTTGAACGGTGACGGTATAATATCACGGTATTTTTCATTTTATGAACGGTGACGGTATAATATTACGGTATTTTTCATCTTTTGAACGGTGACGGTATAATATCACGGTATTTTTCATCTTTTGAACGGTGACGGTATAATATCACGGTATTTTTCATCTTTTGAACGGTGACGGTACAATATCACGGTATTTTTCATCTTTTGAAAGGTGACGGTATAATATCACAGTATTTTTCATCTTTTGAACGGTGACGGTATAATATCACGGTATTTTTCATCTTTTGAACGGTGACGGTATAATATCACGGTATTTTTCATCTTTTGAACGGTGACGGTACAATATCACGGTATTTTTCATCTTTTGAAAGGTGACGGTATAATATCACGTTATTTTTCATCTTTTGAACGGTGACGGTATAATATCACGGTATTTTTCATCTTTTGAACGGTGACGGTATAATATCACGGTATTTTTCATTTTATGAACGGTGACGGTATAATATTACAGTATTTTTCATCTTTTGAACGGTGACGGTATAATATCACGGTATTTTTCATCTTTTGAACGGTGACGGTATAATATCACGGTATTTTTCATCTTTTGAACGGTGACGGTACAATATCACGGTATTTTTCATCTTTTGAATGGTGACGGTATAATATCATGGTATTTTTCATCTTTTGAACGGTG